GGACCGGGCCAGTCTAGGGCCCCATGTCCCAGCTTGAGTAAACCTCTCAGGCCTGTGTCTCTGGAAAGGAGGGGAGGCAGCACTTCCTGACTCTCTCCCCACAGGCACAGCAGGGAGCCTGAGCAGCTCTGCTCCCCTGCACTGGGTGAGCTTTACTCTCCCTGCCCTCCACACCCTGCAGGTCTCAGGGGCACAGCAGATTCCTGCTCGCTGAGGTCACAGCTCCCTCAGCACAGGCAACACCTGACTGGCACCGAGGAGGAGCCCGCACACCTGTCAAACTGATGACCGCCGTTCCCCGCTGGCCTGCATCTGTGCTCCTGCGGGGACTGGGTCCTCCTGGGATGGCCGCCATGCTGATCAGGTCACCTATGAGGGGACAGAGGTAGGAAAATGTTCCAGTCCCTTTGGTGCTCATGTAACCCCCTTTACTCAACAAACCCCTGTGTTCGTCCACCAGGCAGTTCCTGCGACACTGGGAGCCTTCCAGACAATTCAGCATAGAAAGTTGATATTCAACTTCACTCCTAAGACACAGGAAGGTTGGAAAACCCCCACAGACCCAGCTCAGGACAAAATGGCTGAGGCTCCCACAAGCCCCGCCCAGACATGGCCGCCACCAGGCTCCGGAGCTCTTCCCTGCTAGGCCACAGCTGCCAGGAGTCCAGAAGCTTGGACCCCTGGTACTGCCTATGTCCGGGCTTCCAGAGGGGAAGTGGGGAACCAAGCTGTCCGAGGCCTTGAAGGGCTCAGAGCTCTAGGGGAACATGGACCCGGTACCCTCATACACCCTCACTAACTGCCAAGCTAGTTTTGCGCAGGCGCACAGCTCCAACTCAGCGGGATCTGCAAATGAATTCCTCTTGGTGGCAGTATTGTACCACAAATGTCATCTACCCTGTATCCGCGGGTCCTCCCTCCTCCCTTTGTGCAGGAAAAAACACCCAGCATTGACCAGCTAGTGCCCAGCTTGACTGGAAACCAGCAGGAGGGCTCCACTTGGTTTCTAGGGAGCAGAGGGAGCTAGGGCAATGCATTCTGTGCTGAACCCACCTGGAGCCCAGTCAGCCTGGCATCAGCACAACTCACAATGCATGGTCCTTAGGGCACCCCCAGTGGGGTAGGGCACCTGCACCTAGCCAAGCAATACCACGGAGCCCTGCCACAACAGCATGCCCCAGATGTCCAGGGCAGCCAGAGAATCTGAATCAGTCACTGAGGAGTCATATTCACATCAAGTCTCATGCAGGCAGACATAAAGGGCATATACACAGAGGTACTGGGAAGGACACGAGTAAAGGGTTACAGCCATCCCAGGACCACAGGCCTCAGTACCTCTCTACTCACAGGGCTCTGCAGGCAATGAGGGTCCCACACTCAGGCCACTAAGGAGGGGAGACCGGGCAACACCAAACACACCAACTCTCTGTGCATCTGACCCAGGGTCACTGCCTGAGAACTCCTTATATTGGCAGAAGGAAACACATATTGGTGCTGACTCAGGAATTAGGAGGAATCTCTATCCACAGTGCATCATTCAGACAAATGAGGGAATGGAACAGGGAATGTAGACATGATTAAATAGGGTGTGAGAAGTATCTTTACAGGCAAGTGAGAATGAATGAGTGATGGGGTGGTTGTTTAATGGGGGCACAGCCACAATTGCATGTGGAGTTACCTGGATGGTAAAGCAAACTCATGGGTCCTGGACAGGGTCATCTCCATCTTAGAATCCACTCTGCACTGCTCCACACCATGGACACACACACAATCTGGGACTCTCCATAGGGAGTAACAACCTTGGACCCAGGTAAATGAGCCAAGGCATTGTCCTCCCATCTGTTGTGGGCTCTGTCACATCCTGCTGCCCAGACAATACCCTGTTTCCTACCGAGGCCAGCTTCTGTGTCTCTGAGCGAGATGAGATGCCGGTTTGGGAAGTCTCCACTGTCCTCTCTCTGGAATGAGCTGCAAAAACACAAAAGAAAGGAAATAAGGAGAGGACATCCAGGAATTCATCCTTCATGAGGTTAGGACTCAATGTACCCAGGAAAGCATAAACATGGCCTCTGAAACCACACCTTACCAGAAAGGTAGCAGTGGTTAGGGTTTATAATGCAAAACCTTATGATATCTGAAGGGACCTGTAGACAGACTTAATCCTTCTGTTATTTTCTATACATTAAGATTCCACAAGGAGAGCAAAGAGAAGGAAATCAGTTCCCCCAATATCCCAATACAGCATACACTGCTTGGAAGACCTCATGCATTCGGAGCCTCTGCCAGAGTCCCTGGTCCCTGAGCCAGCACTACTGTCCAGAAAGGGGCTGGAGGTAATCGTCACACTCACGCAGGCAAGGACACCTTGCCAGAGGTTTCTGCTAGTCCCTAAAAACATGGTTGTCACCAAGGTCCAAATCATGATTCTTTATCGTTACAATGGACATTATGAGACCACGGGAAACAGGATGACTGGGAACACGGTTGGGCCCACACCACCTCCTTCCTACCTGAGACGTTCATCCTGACTACCAGGTCTGCAACAGTCAGCCACAAAGATGGGAAGGAATTGAGTACCACCAACTCAGACACTGGGAGAGAGGGAAGATTAAGGATCCTCAACCCTAAGACAGCAGGGCCTGAGTACCTGCCTCCTCTCCATGGCTGTTCCCTGGTCTTCAGATAAAAAGGATCCCATGCAATGGGCATTCAGGAGGTTTACCTAGGTGCTACAGCCAAGACACACACCACCCCTCCTAGCACCTGACTCAGGTTCCCAGTTGTTTTCCAAACCCCATCAGTGAGCTGGCAAGAGAAATACACAGACATGATTCCAGTAATGATAGAATCTTTTTGAACAGTGTATATTCCAACATAGATATGGTAGACAATGAATGTAAGGCAAAGCATAGACCCAAATACAGAGAGTACTACATATGCAAGAACGGGCAGGTGTGTGCCTGTTTAAATGAATGCATGAACAAAGGAGTAAAAGGTTATGGGGCGCTGAGTGGAGACAACAACCAGATGTCACACACAGCCCCTGGAAGGAGCTGCAGAACCTCTACCCCTACCCAAGATCAGCTAAGGGCTCAAGCCAGGGCTCATCCACCTGACCGATGGGTGGCAACCTGGGGAACTCAGGGAGAGGCAACCAGCTCAGATCCCTGGAGGGGGCCCAGGGCGAGACCTGTACCGTGCACGGAAGGAATTGTTCCCATCAGTGCCTGGCATCCCCACAATGTATTATGCCATCTGGGGCTGGCTGCTGCCACCATAAAAGGTGGAAGTTCCTGCCTCTGCGTCTCAGAGTGTTGGGGTCACAAAGACAGAAGAGAGAAGTGACACAAAAATAAGTAAAAATGTTGGGTAGTCATTCTCTCAAAAAATTGAACTGAATGTAGGATGCTATGGAAGAACACAAAATACAGCAAGGTGGGATTAGTTTCCAAATTATGTACACATTGTACACAGGAGTTGTACAATGATATTCTGACCAGAACAAATACGTGGAGCACATACATACAGCTATACAAATTCAGTTTCTTGTCTTCCCACTAACATTTATATTCTCTTTTTTTTTTCTTTTTTTTAAAGGCAGAGTGGACAGGGAGGGAGAGAGAGACAGAGAGAAAGGTCTTCCTTTGCCATTGGTTCACTCTCCAATGGCCAGCGCGGCCGGCGCACCGTGCAGGAGCCAGGTGCTTCTCCTGGTCTCCCATGGGGTGCAGGGCCCAAGCACTTGGGCCATCCTCCACTGCACTCCCGGGCCACAGCAGAGAGCTGGCCTGGAAGAGGGGCAACCGGGACAGAATCCGGCACCCCGACCGGGACTAGAACCCGGGGTGCCGGTGCCCCTAGGTGGAGGATTAGAACATTTATATTCTCAAGAGAGAGCATTCATTAAGGGACAGCATTGCCCTGGTATCCCCAACACTGAAAAATCTTCGGGTTGGGTTCCAGTATTTGGAGGACACCGTTATTTTTTTTCAGCCATAAAAGGCGGAGGGAGAGATGGGGAAGAGGGGATGGTTCCATTTCTGGAGCAGCAGCGCCATCCAGCGGAAGCTGTTTCAGAATAGTGTCTACTCTGTCCATCTAATCCCATGTGGAAGGCTCCAGAAATGCGGAAGACTGGGATCCCAAGCTCACACGCAATTATCACCAGAGTTCATACAGAAAGTGAGAGAGCTGGACTCCGCCACCAAGGGATCCTGAGAAGGCCCTATTGGTACTCCTGCAACCCCCCTTCCCTCTTCCCTAGCCAAGCCCCTATGGACCTTCAACAGGGGGCTCCTTAGACACAGGGAGCCTACCAGAGCTGACCTAGACACGGAGGCACCCTACTTCACCCCAAAGACAAGGGGAGGGAGGAAAATGCCCACAGCTCCCACTAGGACAAAATGGCTGAGGTTTCCGCAAGCCCCGCCCAAACATGGCCACTACTAGGCTGCCTCGCTCTGCTCCGCTAGACAACAAAGGCAACACACCCTGGAGCTCAGGCCTCTGGCCATGCCTGTGTCCAGGCCTCCACAGCCCACCTGATGCAGGGGCCCAAGCTGGCCCTGGCTTCCAATAGCTAAGAACTCTCCCTGGGCACCTGGACACCCTCACTTCCCTACCTAGCCAGTTCCATGCAGACACACAGCTGCAAAGGCTGGTGGAATACACAAAACCACTACCTCTTGATGGCAGTATTGTACTGCAAATGCAACCTGCCCTGCCCCAGCAGGTCCTCCCTCCGCCCTTCCCACAGCAAAAAAATGCCCAGCACTATGCAGCAGGAACCCAAAATGGCTGCTGCCCACAAGGCCTCTCTGCCTCATTGTTAGCTGAGCAGGAGGGGCTAATGCACAGCACTGGGTGCTTAACAGGCCACACAGCCTGGTCGCAGTACAGTCCTCCCAAGATGCCCTCAGTTCTAGTTGGCAAGGGATGCACCTCAGGTCACCCCAGCCACGGTATGGCACCTATGGCTAATGCAGCCAAACCCACTGCATCTCACTTAGCTTCAGCCCTCGGGGATCCTTGAGGTTGCTTACATCCAATACTGCTGAGTTTACGCAGCATGTCCTAACATCTGGAGCCGGTGACAAATAGGACACCAAGGTGATTCCACCTCACTGCTGTTAGGCACTAGGGTCCTCCAGTAATGTTCAGGAAACAAAAAGGATGAACAGCCAACAGCCTAGGCCTCTGCTCCCCCAGGAGTTGAGAGACCTACAGCACTGCGGACAGGCCTCTGCCAGTCTCTGACCTCTAAGCCAGCAGTACTGTCTGTAAAGGGGCAGGAGGTAATCGTCTCACTCACCCAGGTAAGGACACCTAGCCAGATGTTCTGCTAGTCCCTAACAGCACAAATTCTGTTTCTTCTCTACTCAAGAGAGATCACTCACTAGGGGACAGGACTCGCTCAGGTACCCGTAACACTGCAAACTTTCACTCTTGGCTTCCTGTATGTGGAGGACACTATTATTTTTTTCAGTCCAAAAGGCGGAGGGAGCGATGGGGAAGTTGTGATGGTCCCATTTCTGGAGCAGCAGCGCCATCCAGAGGAAGCGGTTTCAGAACAGTGTGCACTCATCCAGCACATCCCACAGGGAAGGTGCCAAAAATGAGAAAGAATGGGATCCAGGCTCACACGCTGGCATCACCAGAGTTGGTGTGGAAAGTCAAGAGAGCCGGGCTCCCCAACCCAGGGATCCTGTGTGGCCCTCGGGGATCCAGGCAAGCGCCGTGCAGGCTCGGACCTCAGTATACTTCCCAACGGTTGGAATCAGACATTGTCACTGAGCACTGCCACAACAGCTTGAGCAGGAGGTCCTGGGCGGCCAGATATCAGGATTCGTTCTCTGACAGTCCAATTTGACGGGATGTCTCAGGTAGGGGAATATATAGGGTATGGACCAGAGGTACTAGGAAGGGACAGAGTGAGAGTTGCAGCCATCGGAGGACTACAGGCCTCAGTACCTCTCTACTCTCAGAGCTGTCCCCTGGTCTGCAGGCAATGAGGGTCTCCCATTCAGGCCAGTCAGGATGAGAAATGGGGACCACATCAAATACACCAATTCCCTTTGCACCTGACCCAGGGTCACTGCCTGAGAACTCCCAGTATTGCCAGAAGGCAACACATAGTGGCACTAGCTCATTAATTAGGACGAAACTCTACCCACAGTGCATCATTCAGCAAGAAGTAGGGATGGAGAAGAAAGGGGAGTAAGTACACGTGCACAGACATGATTAAGGTGGGTATGAGAAGTATCTTTACAGGCAAGTAAGAATGAATGAGTGAAGGGGTGGTGATTAAAGGGGGCACAACCACGACTGCCCGTGGAGCTACCTGGATGGTAAACAAAACCCACAGGTCCTGGACAGGGTCTCCTCCATGTTAGAATCCATTCTGGCCTCCTCCACACCATGGAGACACAACCTGGGACTCACCATAGGGAGTGACGACCTTGGACCTAGGGAAGTGAGCCAGGAAATCAGTGCCCTGTCTTCCCATCTGATGTGGGCCCTGTCACGTCCTGCTGCCCCCACCATGCCCTGCTTCCTACCAGGCCAGCTTCTGTGTCTTTGAGCGGGATGAAATGCTGGTTTGGGAAGTCTCTACTGTCTTCTCTCTGGGATAGGCTGCAAAAGGACAAGAGAGAGGAAATACTGAGACAAAATTCTGGGAATTCATAAAGTTAGGCTCCTCAAGGTCCCCAGGAAAGCAACAACTCTGCCTCTGAAAACAAGATCTTACCAGACCTTTGTAAGTAGACTCACCAGTGTGCCCAGAAAAGTAGGAGTTTAGCTTGATTTTAGGACATATAACCCAAAAATTGATGATGTTTGAAGGGACTTGTAGACATAATTATTCCTTTTGCGGTATTATACACATTAAAATTCCACAAGGGGAACAGAGAGAGGGGAAATCATTTCCTCCAGTATCCCAGTACTGCTGACACTGCTTGGAAGGCCTCGTGCATTTGGGGCCTTACTTTAGTGGGTTCATCCACAAAGGGTGGAGGAAGAGAAGGTGGGGGCAGGTGGCAATAGGGGGGGAACACAGCCATCAAATGTAAGTGCTCTGTGCCGTCCCCTCTGTCTCTGCGTTATCCTAATGGAATGTTTGTGATTACCCAACAGTGGGGTGGAAGTAATCATGGTTCCTGTGGCTGGCCAGGTGCCACCAGCAGGTGCCTTCTTAATAGGTCTGGATCGGGTCACCCAGGGTGGGACCTGGGGCTCAGGCAGACATGGACAGGAGGCAGAGCAGGGCATTGGCCCTGCTGAAAAACCAGGTGACTGTCTGGAGCTAGACCTAAAGCAGTTCAGGGTTTCAAGTCCGTTCCTGTCCCAGTTGTGTGTTACTTTCTGGCAACCCTCAAACAAAGTCTGCTCTTCATAGGCAACATCCACCCTGGTCACTGCCTCTGCTGGCTCCTCCCACACTGCTAGGACCCCACCCCTAGGGGGCCCCTGTCATCCAGGCTCCTTCTACTAAGGACAACTGCAGTCAGGAGCGGCTCTATGCTCCTGCTGAAACAGGAAGCTCACGGGAGCCTACAGGGAGGCTGAATGTAAGGACTCGCAGCCAGGCTCCGAGGAAAGGAAATGCATCAGTTCTGCCTCTGCCATAAGCAGATTGTGAAACTGGAAATTCTCTGTGGTCTTTTAGGAGGTAGAGTCAATGTTGAAGGAATCCACTTGGGGTCCCGAGGTCACCTAATACAATGGACCCACTGCTCTTGGGCTTTGGGACAAGAGGGAAATCGCACTGAATCCTGGCAAGGATCCACCCAGGTCTTTGCAGTGACTTTCAGCGGCCCCGCCAAAACATGGCCGCCAACAGGATTCGGAGCTACGCCTGGCAGACTCAGCCACCACACAGCCTGGAGCTTGGCCCCCCGGCCCTGCCTGTGTTCGGGGCCTCCGGAGCCCCAAAGACACCAGGGCCGAGCTGTCCGGGGCCTCCATGGGCTCTGAGCCCCCCGTGGAAACGGCCCCAGAACCTGTCTGTACCTTCACTTTCCTGCGGTTGGCGGGATCTGCAAACAACTTCCTCTTGATGGCAGTATTGCACTGCAAATGCCACCTGCCCCGCCCCCGCGGGTCCTCCCTCCGCCCTTCCTGCAGCAAAAAACTTGCAGCACTAGAGGGTACCCAGCATGGCCGCTGCCCAGCATGGTCACTCTGCTTGGCTCCAAGGGGAACAAGAGGAGCTACCCCACAGCCCTGGATGCAGCACCATCCTCATGCCAGCGCCACCTGGCCTAGCACACAGCTCCTGGGCTGCCCTGGCACTAGCACACAAAGGAGGCTTCTCAGGGTACCCTCAGCCATGGAGAGTACATGACTAAGGAGGGGAGAGTACATGACATTGAGCTGAAGATTCTCTAGGACACTGTGGCTGTTGACACAAGCGGCTGGAGAACATCCTGATTATTCCCTATGAGGTCGTGACAAGGCACAGTGAACCAGCTCTGTTTCAGTCCATGTTGTGTGCTTTACTCTTGTTGCTCCTTATTATGTTTGGGTTCAGAAGCAAATTTCATTACTGGTCACTGCCTTTCATGGCTTCTTCACCACAGGAGGTGGCTTGCTCTCTAGGTGGGAGGCCCCCAGTATGCCGGTTGGAGCCGGTGAGCACCATTCCACTCTGCAAGGTGGATATGCACCTGCAGGGAGTGGGGTGCTCTGGGATGTGACAGGCAGACTAAGCCCATCACCTCTGAGGAGACAGAGGAAGGAAAATGCTCCAGTCCCTACGAGTGCTCCTACAAGCCTTGGCGACTTTCAGTTCACAGCTCCTTAGCCACAGAAAACCTTCTGGAGATCTCAGCACAGAGGGTGGCTCCTCACACCACTCCTGAAACAAGGCTAGGGAGGAAAATGCTCCGATTTCCAGCGAAGGGCTCCATGGCTGAGGCTTCCACCAAGCCCCGCCCAAACATGGCGCCACCAGAACAGAGCCTGAGCTTTTTGTGATACAGTTACTAGGCACCCTGGCAATCTGCCTCTTATTGCTACATGTTTTGGGGACTTCCACTTCCCAACCTGCTAGCTAAGCTTGCCCGGGTCTCCAAGGGCTGTGAGCACTCCCAGGGTGTGGCCCCAGGACCTGCCTGCATTCTCACTACCGTGCCAAGCCAGTCTTGCGCAGGCTCATGGCCACCAGGGCTGGCAGGATCCTCAAACAACTTCCTCTTGATGGCAGTATTGCACCACAAATGCCACTGGCCCTGCCCCTGCATGTCTTCCCTCCGCCCTTCGCAAAGGAAAAAAATGCCCAAAGTTGTTCAACAGAGACCCAGCATGGAGGCTGCCCAGCATGGCTGCTCTGCCTGGCTCTGGGTGCTGCATCCAGGACCACAAAACACAGTGCCTCGCTCCACTCACACTCCCCTGGTCTTCAGACAGCAGAAATCCCAATCTCAGGCCTTGGTAAAATGTAATTTCTCCAAGATGGTGGCCATGGGAGAAGAAAAAGGGAAATGAGAACGCATACATATGTAAATACAGACATAAGCAAACAACTGTTAAGTGAGAAAGTGTGGGAGCACGTATGTATGAAGGAATGAGACAATCAGTGAGTGAATGGAGAGGGGCGCTGAGTTGCATCTACAGATTGCTACAATGCGCTGTCTATCCCCGAGCCCTGGGGGAGGTCAGCTGCCCATGTGCACTGGCTCTTCACTCTTCCTGATTCATGGACCCACTACCTTAGGCACAGCTTAGGGAGCAACAACTGTAGAACCATGGAGGTGAGCCAGGGCATCATCTTCAACTGTCCTCTCACCTGATGTGGCCCTTGTGGGCTCCTGCTGCCCTCACTAGGGTTGACAACGAGCTCTAACCCTGGGTCAGACAATGAACTGGCTGGATCAGACTCTGCTCTAAGGGTACAGAGGACAGGGAATGGGGCACGACGAAGGGAAATCGAGGCCATCTTCCCACCTGCTGGGATGAGCAATGAAACCACAAAGCAGGAAATGTATCCACTGGAGTCCACGTCTAAAGTGTCCACTGTGTGCCCAGAACCCTTTGGAGTAGTGAACGTCATATGTGCCCAAAGGCTTCAGGTGCTAATGTAGCACGCATACATAGATACATCATTTCTGTTGGATGCTTTCTAACTGGTCTTACATCCCCAAACAGACAGCAAGAGAGGAAGGACAGCACCTCCCAAGCACCCCAACACAGAAAACCACCCTGCTAGGGACTGGTTGGCTTTTGGGGCACTCCCTGTCATTTTTCCATCTGCAAAGCACAGAGGGCAAAGACAAAGAGGCTGGGATTTCTGGAGCAACAGTGGCATGAAACACAAGCTTTTTAAGTGTGCTTTCCAGATGTTCCGTGTGTGCTATTACACAGCTTCCAATACAAGGAACAGCGGATTTGAAGAACTCGGGGAATGATGCCACTGAACGTGCCATGTCACCTGGCACCTCCAGGGTTGGCATGACAATAAGGTGGTCTGGCTTATCTATGGAGGAGTCCTGAGAGGCAAGGCCTGCGAGACTCAGAAGGTACTGAGGACCAGGCCACCATGCTGGGTGATCAGGAGCCCGAGTCCCTGCACAGCACTGGCCGCTTTGTGCTGCCCAGCTATCACAAGGAAGTCAGTCAGGGGGCACTGCCCTGGGTACTCTGAACCCCAGTGAATCTGGACTTAAGAAACATTGGAGGACCCAGTCCCAGTGGGAGGCACTCAGTCAGGGGCTGCACCTTATAGAGAGGATAGGGAAAAGCTGATGGTCGCAGAGTCCAACAGGACAGGGAAGACTAGAGCTGCACATGCCAGTTTGGCTTCCACTCACTCCCAACACAAGTCTGTGACACAGACCCCAAGGACACCATCCACAACCATATTCTAGTGTAGGACAAAGGATGCTGAAGACCTCACTTAATGATTGTGAACTTGAAGTGGTCATCATGCTCCAAAGTGAGGGGCCCCAGGTCTGCTGTTCTACAAGCGCCAGTGGTCAGAATCAGTTCAGTGAAGTGCTGTTTCCTTTGCGTTGTTTAACTTGGCTACTCTTCCTGGGAATGCAGCTGGGTTAACAAGCAGCTGAGGAGGTCTGTGTCTCTAGGCTGTAGTTCCTACAATGCCGCATCAGAAGCCCACTAGAATGAAGCACACTGACAGCATCACACTCAGAGCCGTGGATTGGAGAGCAGCCCATGAGAATGTAAAATTCTAGATACTACCCTGGGGTCTTGGAAACTGGTGCTGGCAGCCCGGAAATCTATGGCAGTACTGCAAAAGAAATTCCAACATGCTTTCCTTAACTCCTGTGTTTTCTCTCTTCTATTTTACAGTGGGGAAAAATAATAAAACACCGACCGATATCCACTCTGTCTGAAACCTGCCATCTGGTGGTTTGCTGTGCTCACATCCCTTCCTCCATTCTGCAAGGCCTCTGCCCCTGTGGGACAGTGTTAGGCATCCTCCTTGACATCAACAGATACTGGCTCCCCATGCAATTACCCTAAGAATATAACAAACACAGCCAATCATGGATGTTTCCTCACCACACAAGGTGGGCGACACAGCAGGTGAAGCCTCGGGTATGTGCACAGAGTATAGTCACATTCACCCACTACCCATCTGGGAGCCTTCTGACTTGGGCAGTATCAGGAGC